CCAAACCTTGGAGTTACTCTTTACAAATAACGGTCCAGCTAGATCACAACCCGAAACTTGGAAGACTTTTCCCAAATTAGTGCGATTGTGTGGCAGTCCAACGGGAGGTACTTCCATAGGTCGGCCTCTGAATCTGCGACATCTAACACAACGACGGATTACCTTCCTAGCTAATGATCTTCCTTTCAAAATCCAATATTTTTCCCTCAGATGACTGATGACTGTGCTTGCTCCAGCGTGATGCAGTTTCTCATGGCACTCCTGAATCATGTCTTCTACCATCTCACATTTTGATAACAATATTGGTTCTTTAAATGCTGGTGTAAATTCATTAGAAAGTATTTTTGTCCTAACTCGCAATAATCCATCATAATCTATAAAGGTTTCATGACGCTTTAAATCGGTATAACATGCTCTTTGCCATACAATCATTATCCTTTTTTCGGCTGCAACAATCTCTTCTTCATTTAATTTAAGTCCACCTATAGAAGATTTCTTTCGTAATTTTTCAATAAATCGTAGGGTGTACGCTAAAATTCGGAGATTTTTTCCAAATTTATGACTTCTGATAAATATTTGTGGATTAGCTTGGCTACCATCATCAATACTACATATACACGTAGGCACAGCTGCAGCTTCTATTTGAGTGGGTACGATTTCCGTTTTAGGCCACAATTCAGGATTTTCTCTCAACCAGTCAGGTCCTTCCCACCATTTCATTTGTAAATACTCACTAAGGAAACACCCTCTGCTCACAATGTCAGCTGGATTCTTATCTCCAGGTACAAATCTCCATTGTTCAGCTTGAGTAAGTTCTCTGATCTCTTTGACTCTATTTCCAACGAATGATTTCCATTCACCTTTTTTAATCCAATAAAGAGTTATCATCGCGTCCGTCCAGTACGTGAAATCTTCTATTTCTGTGCTTTTCTTAACAACAGACCCCAACCTACTGGAGATCAGTGCAGCAACAAGTTCTTTTCTAGGGATTGTCATTTCTTCTATAGGTGTGACTCGCGCTTTGGCTGCTACTAATCGTAAATAAATCAATTCATTTTTGACAAAACGGGCAAAAATGCATGTGGCCATTCCTCTTAGACTAGCATCACTAAACACATGCATACTTACTTCCTTTCCTCCAAAATACCTTGGGACGTTTATCTCATTCAATAAATTAATTTCCCTCAACCACTGGAAACATTTGGATTCAATTTCTTTAGGTATGCATTCATCCCAGCTCAACTTGAGTTTGAACACATCTTGTAGGGCGATTTTCAGGTACAATACGGGTGCAGCAATCAAACCCAGAGGATCATATATCTTATTTACGATAGATAACAATTTTTTCTTTGTCAACCTTCCATCTATTTCCAGATTTTGCAAACAACCGAGGGTATCATGTAAAGTTTGCCACCGGACGCCGAGTACTTGTGTCTTGACATCATCTCCCGTTATTACCCAACCACGCAGCTCAAAATTACCTTGGGCCATAACAGCTGTAGCTTGTTCTACAAATCGTCTAGCTTCTTCCACATTATGTAATGATGTGATGCAATCATCCATATAAAATGAGTTTTTAAGTATAATCTCAAAAACTTCTTCCGATTTCCTCAACTGTTGTACTAAATCCTCAGGATATTTCTTTTCTATTAACTTATCAAGGTGATGTTTAATAGTCGCATTTAAAAGGAAAGGGCTACAAACGAGACCAAAGACGACTCGACAGTGTCTAAATGTAATAATTTCTCCATTACGGTACCAAAGAAATTTCAACATTTCTTTGTCAGACTCATTCCCAAGTCCAATCATTAAGAATGCTTGTTTAATATCACCTATCACCCCAATTTCATATAGTCGGAATCGGAGTAGAAGAGGCATCAATTCACTTATTAAATTGGGTCCCGTTTCAATGCATTCATTAAGTGAAACACCGTTTATACATTTTGCTGATGCGTCAAACACCGGTCTAATCTTTGTTGTTTTTCCCTCTTTCACGACAGGGCGGTGTGACAAGAAATGTCCAATATCCTTATTATTATTTACCTTTTCTATAATTCCATCTTCTTGCCACTGATTGAATACATTGTCATACAAATCATACAAGTTATTTTTTACCAATCGTTTCAAAACAGAATTCAATCGAGTCTCAGCTAAACCTTTATTAGTAGGTAATGTAGGATGACCTTCGGACCATGGAATGGCTACATAATACCTATTTTCGATAAATTCTATATTTTGTTCGAATGAGTAGATCGCTAATTCATTACTGTCATGTGTCACATTAGGCTTTTCAATACCCAATGCATCTAAATCCCATAAAGACTCAGGGTGTGAAACCAGCGAACATATAAAGTTTGTCATCGTCGTTGTGGACATCGATGACGTACCTAAAAGACACCATCCCAATACGGTTTCATATGCAATTAATGTTTCGTTAATAAGTTTCATTCCTGTGATGAAACTTCCAATTGTGTCTGCTCCAATTAGTATGTCAACGGGTCGATTTACTCCATCTTCAGCTAGAATTATGCCTAGCTGGTTTATTTCCTCAATCATTTCACAATTGACAGTGTCAATTGTTCCACAAATCTGTTCTTGATCAAGGACCTTCATTTTAAACCTCTTATTACCACCTAAACTTATAAGTTCAATTTCATAAAGATTGTGCGCTATCTCTGAGGATATTTGTCCTCCGAATAACATGTGTTTGAAAGTGTCTTGTCCTATTAAATTTGGCTTAATTATTTGCACTAAACGTTTGGTTATATAGCTCCTATGGGATGCAGAATCTAACAATACGCGAATAAGTTGACCTGTGTGTACGTAGCAAACGAGAGTTTGCATTATAACCATTGGCTTGTCAGCACAAGCCACTAAAGTGGGTGTCTCCTTAACCGCAGTTGTAGGAGTACGTGGAACACACATAATATCGTAATGTTTTTGATTACATTTAGAACATTTAACATACTTACGACACTGAAACCGACAGTGCCCGGGACGCAAGCAAGCAAAACAAAGTTTTTGGTTACTCACAATTTTCTGCTTCTCCTCAATAGACAATCCTTTCTTGCAATTCTGACTAAAATGAGATTCTGAACAAAACACACATGTAACAGGTCGAGATTGTTCAGATTTTGATTTTTGTTGAGGTACAGCGACTAACGCAGCAGCAGTACTCTTCGACGGTGAAGACTCGACCTTACAGTTTTGTATTCTTTCATAGGTTTCTGCTTCTTTACTCAGGAACTTCATCAATTCGTCTAATTTATTTTCATTTGATTTTGACTCACGTCTTTCCCATAGTATCAGCGTTTCCTCCGGCAGACATTCTTCGATTAAAGGAACTAATAATGCGGTTCTCTCACTATTGAAACCGAAGGACTCAAGACTCCTAATTTTCGCTGATATGACATCATTTAACTTTGATAATGATGGTCTGCTCCGGACTAAAGCGAGCAATTCTTTATATATAGCATGAACAATTAATTCATCTCTTCCATATCTATTCTTTAAATGATCTACAGCTTTATCATAGTTTGCGGCAGTGTTAGGATATGTGTCCATCAGTATCTTAGCTGACCCTAGTAAACTCATGCGTAAATACATAAATTTAGTAGTTTTATCAAGATCTTCACTGCTGTGTATTCTCTCAAATTGTGACCAAAACGATAAAAAGTTACCTGGTGCCAAATCAAATTTTTCTAATGTCAATCTAGGCAACTTAAAATTATTGATCTTTCCAGATCCATCACTCTTTACAGTACCACTATGACCATCTTCATTGCTTATACGTTGTGTTTGTAGTGAACATATCGATATTTTTTCTTCTATTATAATACGACACTTATGTACTTCTTCTGTTATGATGTGACAACGATAATTTTCATCCTCGCATTCCTTTTCGTTATCCAAATCGTCTAACATCATATCCAGGATTCTTTCATTGAGAATGTTGATCTCGGGTTCCAAATCATTCAACATATTAAGTTTCGCTTTTAATTCCACCACAGGTACTTCTGTATCTAACATTTTATTCATCAGCTTCGTTGCATTGCTCCTCAGAACAGCTCGTTTCTTTTTCAATTTTTCTACATCCATTTTCCGATGTGGGTACTTTGGATTTTTCTATACAATTCAATCTCACCACGGTCGCCAATAATGTTGCGTTTAGAACAGATTTTACTTTTCTAAATATGACTTTTATTATCCTTCAAAATTACATTCATTTTATACTACTACTAACAGCCACCTCTTTCTTTTCAAATACAATAATTCATACATTCTTATTCTTGAACTCGACAGATATAAATAAACGACTTTACGTTTCAATACAATACTTTGGTATAATGTAACTACAATTTGATCGCTGAGTAAAATTACTTTAGTATGTATTTTCGTGCCTTGTACTGGACATAACATATTTAAATTTTAAATATTGTAAATTCTTCGACAGTAATAGTAATACCGCCACCATAATGTGGATAAAGAAAACGAAAATAGTTTCCGTCTGCCGCATGTGAAAGAAACGGAAACGTCTATTTAGAATATTCATATGAGCAACAGGTTCGCAAATAGCCAGCCGGTGTCGCATCTGAGTGAGCTCGACAAATGCTCGAAAAACTTGAGGGAAATCCGATTTAGACACGCGACAGTTGTTGCCATCTGGTTTTTAATGTGTCATTGTCGCACATTCTATTTCAAAGCTGTATTTCACAACAAAGCGAAGAATTGTATATAAATAGAGTCAGTTCAGTAACTTAAATATCGAGGTAGACTTCTCGTCAATTAATAAATTTACTGGCAGCCTTGCTTCTATTTCTATAATCCATACTGGCGGAGTTGTCAATTTGAAACAGATGTGTATCACAAATCCTCATGTAACAAGGTAATGATGTTTTCATTCACTTTTGTTTGCATTTCTTTGACTTGCGTCTGTTAAAACGGCGACGGATAATAACGCCGAAAACCACAAGCATCTCTTATTTCCTTTGGGAAAGGGAGAGTCTATCTGTATCATGAATGCACATACTAAACTTAGACTTTTCCTTTCAGGTAATGGTGTCAGGATCAGGAGCTCTGCAAGCACTTCTAATAGTTTCGTGTATATCACTTGGCGCAAGTTTAGTGTGTCCGCAAGGAAAGCAATTCCTCCACCACAATTTGCAAATCTGTGTAAATTGCTCGGTATGTGACAATGAAAAGGGTCAAGTCGTCCTTAGGCCTTGCGAAGTTCATCGAGATACAATTTGCGGGCCCTTAAGTGAGCTAAGCCTCGATTGGAAGTTTTTACAACCCCAGTCGGAAAATCGTCACCGGCACGAACACCACAGACACCATCATGAAGCGAAGGACGAGAGATTATATTGGAACGCCCGGGATGATCACGACAAACAGCCGGCGGAAACACAATCGGAAGCGAGGGTCGACCCTGCGGTCGAGGTGATAGGTGTAGGGGTTACGAGCACTGAAGTACCCTTTTCAAGTGCAGAAACACTTGTGTGGGACTGGCAAGCTATCGCGCTTACGTTAGCAGTATTCGCCTGCATCCTGTTTTTTCTTGTGATCGCCCTATATTCTTTACATCAAGCTAAACAGTGGAGGAGGCTTAAGGAGAACTTTGAAGCGGGTAAGCTATTTATACATCTTTTTCTTTGAGCACGTAACGCCGTTTTTAATAATAAATCGTTATGGTTCGAGGGATTCGCTTCATCCCCCAATATACGTATTTCCATTAAGTTTAATAATTAAATCTAATTAAGCTCGCCAAAATCGCGGTCGGTCGTTTAATTAATTTATTATAGGTTCGTTATCGAGGGAGGATCGAATTAGGTATTAAAAATTCAGTTTGCTGTATCAAAATGCATTCTAAAGCTGTCCGGTTCATGGCTCCGAATGTTTTCGCCCAGTAGGTAGCTAACAAAATCTGTTCAGAGAAAAATGTCAAGGAATGAGTCTGATCGCATTTTCGGCATTTATTAAATGTTACTGATTTGAGGAAGTACGCCTTGGTAATTTCTGTTGTGCATTTAAGTACACACTACACTGAAGGGGCAAGGTTGTCATAATACTTACAAAAGAACTAATTCCACCAAACAACAATAAATAGCAAACACTTTCTGTTTTTAAGTAACTGGACTGATTATTCGTAATTCCATGATTGCCATGGAAATGTTACTTGCTATTTGCTTATAGAGATCACCGTCGTTGTAAATAAAATTCTTCAGTTGAAGAAGATAATTCACCTTCCGTTCAGTGGCTTGTAGCAGAACCAGAAGAAAAGATGGTACTTGCATCCAAATCCAAATCAACAGCCTATTATAAAGAGTATGGAAAGTTGTTGGCGTGGATGAATATGAAGCATCTTTCATACAAAGTCATAAATGCATTGTTAATGCTGGCAAATATAAAGGAACTGTTAAAGATATTTAAATCTTCTACCCTTTGGTGCATTCATTCAAAACATCAATCAATGCTGCAATTAAAAAGTGGAGCGGATTTGACAGCATACCCTAAATCTAAAGAGAAGAGTTGGAGGAAATTGAAGGAACCGAATAATCGAAAACGAGATTTCACAGAATTTGAATAGCTAATTAGTAATTACAACATTTGAATTTGAATAAACTGAAGATCTGCACATTTTAATAATTTGAGTCGAAGTATCAGAAAATCTAAAGGATTGAAGAATGTGAGGCGGGACGAATTCTGGAGCAAACTGATGGATCTGAAAAATGTTAAATATGAATAATCCAAGGCTGGAGAAAATTTGAAACGGGAAAATATGGGAAGGATCTAGAGAAATTAAAGAGTTTGAGGAGTCCGAAGTCTAACTACTGAAAAATCCAAATCCGAAAAATCGAAGGAATATAGGAAATCAACACCGACGGATTCCAAGATACTGAAGAACCAGAAGAATCTTAATAATCTAGAGAATGTTATGGACTTGAGGAACCTAAAAAATCAGTAGAACGCGAGAAACAGAAGAGTCCTCACAATCAGAGAGTTTTAAGTATCGGAATAATTTGAAACTAAAGAATAAAAGGATCTAAAGAAATAAAAGTTATTGGACAACCTAATGAAAGGACGTTTTATGAATCGTACTGAAATATCGGCCTAATCAAAAAAATGGAAAGAAGCTCAACAGTAAAGAGCCAGAATCCGGACTCTCAAGATACAAGAAAAAAACTACGTAATATCAAGACCTAGAAGATGAAACGTCCAAAGAATCTGAAGTCTGCAGAATATGAAAAAATTGAAGTATCGAACGCATCTGCAAGAATGAAAACAAGGTTGAAGAATTCGAAGAAATAAAAGAATTCAAATAATCTAAAGAAATTGAAGAATACGAAATATCTGAGGAAGTTTCCAAAATATTCGGATAGATGAAAAGTCGCATCATCACCCCTCATCAGGACGAACTTCATTAAATGTTAATTTATATTTTTGAACAATAAGTGTTGGATCACGGCACAACTGACATTTTAACTTTAGTATGAAATCTATTTTAGAACAGTTTCCAACTCATGTTGGAATGCGCTATTATGGCCACTGTCTTCGTCCGTCCGAGGCCTTAACTACTCCTACCTAGACTCCTACAGTTTTCAAAATATATAAATTTGATAGCTTGGAATAAAGTGAAGATGGTAGACGATCTGAAAGGGGAAAGAGGATATGCGGATATGAAAAGAAAGACAGTGGATAGAGAACAGTAGAGACTGCAAAATAGAACCTGCGTATAGCAGAAAACCAACAAAAAAAGCGTATAGCTCTGGCACCAGAGCGAAGAAAAATCTTGACGATTTATTGCACATGCGCAATGTCAACTTTCTTATTTATAGATATTTTGAAACTGTTACCAAAGTTCTTCTAGTAAAGGCAAACATACAGTATATTTTAAACATAAAGTGTGCGCATGCGCAGATTGCGCAATGTTAATTTTCTTAAGGCGAATACCTTTTTCATTGTTTCATATTGGAAGCCGTCGCCATCTGAACAAGAAAATTAAGTATATACAGAATTTTTACCTCTACAGAAAAGGTCTTGTTTAGCAAAACGACGACTATCATACCTTGCTTCATGACCTCACTGTATCTTACCAGAAATTGGGTTGCTTGGGGTGCTTTTTCGGAAGGTGAAGACCTGAAGATGTTGAAGACTACAAATCAAACCTGTCGGTTTTTTCAGTTATACATTAGTGACTGGAAAGTCATAGGGTATAGGTAATAAAATGTATGTTGCGTTTTAAACAAATTCATTGAGTTAATTGCGCTACATTACTGCTTAAGGAGTCTACGTAGGATTTTTCCAGAAGCCGATTTCGGTATGCTATCAATAACGGAAATGCCCCCAAGCAAATGTTTATACTTCGAAGCTTTGCCGGCGACAAACTCCTCAATGCTCTTCAGATTCGCCCGATTTCCACGTTTAATCACAACAAACGCCTTTGGAACCTCCCCGAAACGGTCATGCTTTTGGCCAATGACGGCTGCGTCCTCGACGTCGGGATGACTACGTAAAATACTCTCAAGTTCGGCTGGAGCGACTTGATACCCTTTTACCTTGGCGCAGATTTACATTTTGATTGTAGATGGCATACTTACTTTAATTAATTCCTTAACTCTGTCCGTGATGAAGAACTGCCCGTCTTCGTCACAGTATCCCACATCTCCAGTATCCAACCAGCCTTCGGAATCCAAAACTGAGTTAGTCGCACTCGGATTATTGAGGTAACCCTTAAAAACCTACGAAAATCCAAGTTATTATAGAGAAATCATTGACACGCATAGTACTTGAGGTCCTCTTACAAACAAAACCCCAGATTGAGGGTGACCGTAATTTGAATCTGGCGAACTCTCAATTCTGCACTCGTGATTTGGAAAAATCACACCGCACCCTCCCAATTTCACACCACCCGGCATTGCTGAAGTTTGTAAAAATGCCACGCCTGTAGTTTCGGTCAATCCGTACGCTTGAAATATTCGCACAGTTCCCTTGGTTTTTTCTTGTAGCCTTTGAATATCACTAATTCCCGTAGGTGCGGCCCCTACCATTATGTTTTTGATTTGGGCTAAGTGTTCCGGCTTAAAACGCGCATCATTCGCTAGCATATTCACTGAAAGAACACTCTGATGAGTTGGAAAAAGCCTACGACCTTACTTAATGGGGGAACCAAATAACAGTGGGTGGGTTCTTCTTTCTTTAACACTTTTAAAAATGTGTCCTGCGTAAACCTTGCTATAGTAACCGCCTTGCATCCCAACGACAGGTTTAATAGCAACGCTAGCATGCCGTAGATGTGGTGGAATGGCAGCATAATGGGGTAGACTCCTTGATCGTCATCTGCGAACATTCCCGTTGACTGCTTGAGTAAACCGGATTTTGGGTTACCAGTGGTCGGTGGTATAAAATTGAATTGGGGCATGCTTTGGTTATGCAAGCAGGTGACGAGATTTTCCGTGGTCAACTCAATACACTTGGGCAATCCGGTGGTGCCACTCGAATACGGTAGATACAAGACATCTTTCCAGTTATGTGGGTGCGCTTTTGTGGGAAATGTATTTTCTAAGACATCACTAAGCTTAATTGCGCCCAGTGGACAATCCATAACTTCCTAGGAAACTGGAAAACTACACGATTTCAAAGTACATCAAGTTACCTCACTATGGTTGATAGTGATGATCGGTATGTTACGAGTACTCCATTGTTTCAGCGCTTGGTGGACGTTCGGCCATAATTCCGTAAGTGTAAAAATGAGTCTCGGCTCGGATATTCTGAAGGAATTGAATAGTTCGTCTAACAGTAGCAAGTTGAGCGCTAGCATAATTTTTGGGAAGTATTACCTTGGGTGAATAGTGGATTTATTGTTGTTATCTTATACCCAGCCTTAAGTGCACCGAGTGCGACCAACGCATACTCAGGAACGTTTGGAAGGATAATTGCAATGGTATCGCCTTTGTTCAACTCCGAAAGATGCCCCAAGTAGTTCGATATTCTGTCACTCTTTGTGTAGACATCCGAAAAGGAATAGCTGCGTCCAGTTTCTCCGCAGACCTTAAATGTGTGACTATTCAAACCCTTTCCAATTGATGAATCTTACCAAAGCAGTTTTATTATGCCATTTTTCCAAGTTTTTCCATACGTAATCGGTTACAGATGACTGTGGAATTTCGATGTTCTTAATTTTTGGAAGTATAATTTTATTACTAAACCCTCTCGAGATCACAGGTGGTGATCGGAGGATTGTTTTCATATACTTCATATTGGCAAAGACGCAGGAATAGTGAGAATGAAATCCATACTGGATTTATGGTAGAGTTTTGTCATATGAAGGTGATTCTGGTTATTTATTGGGTAATTTTTCACATAGGCAGTTGCATATAATCTATTATTCTTATGTAATTTAGACAAGACTTATTGCCTTATTGTGTTGATATTACGACATTGGAATGGTTCTTTTACTTTCAGCCTCGAAATTTTGAATTAACAAATGCGCCCATTTTGGAAAAACTCAAAGCCGAAGAAATGGTTCTAAATACGTTTCCGGGAAAGATTCGATTCATTTATTGAACTTACTTATTGTTAACTTTATTTTACATATTCACTAAATTTGGGGAAGAAGCTTCCTTTTAAGATTGATCTGTCCATCCAACTTTTATGTCTTTTAGGTGTCGTTTAATTGACATGCGTAATTAAAGTACATTCCTAAGTAAAAATATTTCAACAATACGCAGAATGGAATTTTTACGTGACAATTGTAAAATATTGTCAGGTATTTCGATGTGGATAAGCGCCAAAATTGAAAATAACATAAATTTCTCAGAAAGAAACCCTATTATTAGGTCCTGACATTAACCTTACGTCATTTACTAAGTAGCATTTAATTTGTTGTCTCCAAACATTGAAGTAAACCTACAAATAAGCTTGTTGTTTATTACTTAATGGTTGAAATGCATTTCTGGCATGTTTTTCACAGTGAAATATGTCATCCATTTAGATCACAGCACTTGAGACCTTATCAAAGTTTTGGAGGATTTTATCTAAAGGACTTTATTGCGTAAAAGCGAGTTAATAGAAGTCTTTAACCACCTGTGCGAGTGTTAAGTTTATTCGCCACACATCTTGATGATGATTTACTTGCATCGAGAGGGTAATCTAAGTACACATTAATCAAACACGAATGTTTGATTTTGCCTCTCAGGTTTATAGTAGCCAGTCGAGGGTATCAAAACTATGATCCTGAAGAACTCCAAGATTTGCTCGCGATTATCACACTAAGAACGAACATCTGGCCCGAAGTCCTGTGTCGTACTGTCCAAATAATTTCCGATAGCCCCTCTGACAAACTGAGGCCCTTTATACATCACCGTAGGATGTCTATATCTATTCTAATTGCGCTGTCTTGGTTTTCGTTGCCCTTAGTTTTCTCGGTGCTACTGTACTATTTTTGATCATCAGATTTTCAATTATGGTGGGTCCAAATCAAACGACCGACTTTTCAAAACCTTATATATAATAATTAACATTTTTGTTAGTTCTTGAAAATTATTTTGGTTTCGTTATTTCACTTTACGTCTCCCATCTACCTCCAACAATCTGGGCCTTTGATTTATAAATCCAAATTAGCTGCAGACAAGCTTAACAAGTTTACCTAAGCAGCTAGCAAAGAAAATGGTGAAGTATATAGAATGTGATATGGAAAATTACATGGTGTTGGAGGCCAAATTCGACGGTCACAATAAAATATGTGAAAATTAGTGTATCATAACTCATATCGCACGAAGATTCTAAACCGAAGAGTTAGCAGTTAGCAAAATTCCACCCCTGGAATAGGTAACTCGCCCCTGGTCCGAGGTATCCGAGCCTACAGTTTAAATACGAGAATTGTTCCTTCTGCAGAGGCACCTCTAAAAAGCATTATGCGGGTCACTCTGTAATTGGGCGCAAGCCTGTTGAGGGCCCAGAACAAGAGGGATAATAAATAAATAAATTAGGTGTCGTAACTAATGTGGCTACGGTTATCTATCACCTCCGTGACGATACTGCCATGTGCAATGGCAAATGGTCACCAAACCACCCACGTAAACACCTGTCCAGTTAGCTGAATTAAATTCAGGTACTAACAAGACCTTTAAAATAAATAATTATAATTCTTGAAATTGTTAAGTTGAGTGAGTACTGATACTGACTGACTGCATGGCACGGCCCGTGCGAAATAAAGAGTGGAAAGAGCCCTGGGACGGGACGGGGCATGGGATGTGACATGTGAATGTGATGGTGCTAGTGCTGACTCTCTGAATATATGATGTCATTGTCATTACTCATTCTCATTCATTTCTTCTTAATTACTTTAGTCAATTTAACCTTGAAGCACGTAATATTTAGACCGTTAAAACGGGATGTTCCGCGCCAGGCGGGATGGTTGGCAACCCTACACACAATTGATGTGAGATGGTCCAGAACCGAATGCTTTTTATTTTTATATTCTAGTGCAAACCATATAACGCTAATCATGGCTCAGAGCTGAATGCCCAGAATTTCCGAAATAATCCCTTCCTGTATACCAGGGAAGTGAGAACGATTTTGCCCGAAAGTTGTAAATTTTTGAAAACAGTTCGTATCGAAATGCGGTTTTCGGCATAGCTTCAGAAAAATACCAAGAGAAATGTTGTACAATACTGATTGAGCGAGTAACGATTTCCGAGCAATTTCTCGATACGGGTAATTTTTCTCCCCACCTCCATATCTCCATCCCGGTGAATCTCCGAGCAATCTTGAAGGCAGATCTGGACTCAGCGACCGCGACAACCTCCAAGTAACAATTTCGGAGCAATTTCGCGGCACTGTTAATTTTTCACTCCACTGCACCCCCGGCCGTAGCGCCGCCTCTGATCATTCCTCAATTCCGTCCCTCATCCGGACAATTTCTAGGGTAGATATGGACTAGGGTCCCCGAACACCCCCGAGTAAATTTCTAAGCGATTTTTCGGCTTTTCATATACGCTTATCATTTTTATGCAATAATAAATGCATTTTGGCTCCCCTTATGCAATTTTCACAAAATGGCTTAATCGGTATTGTATAACATTTTCTGAACACTATGCCAAAAACCGCATTTTGATACGAACTGTTTGCAAAAATTAGAACTTTTTTCTTTATTTCCCTCATTTACTATATTTTGTTGATGAATTAACGCCTTTTCCAAGGTGATATCTACTAACATTAAGTGAACCACTTTTCTCTCAAGAGCAAATTTGGTTGGCGTTACCCCCCGGAGTGTACGAGGTTTAGGCAGTCGGCAATGTGCACGGTGATCTTACGGTAGCGTAGTTCTGTCAGCCATCTTTACCCTACTGAGATAAGATTACCTATTTTTATGTGTTCAACTCACGGGAGCTTAAAACTTCCGAAAGTCATTATGAGTACAACATTCTATAGAATTTAAATACGCAGAACCATAAATATAATTGGTTAACTTGGAAACTGCACGTTCCTATAAATCTACATTTATCTCAATTTTGAAATAATCACGCATACACTTCAACCTCCCTATTTACATCTCCCATCTCCAACCCTACAACAATATGCAGCTCTAAAAATATCCAAAATTAATACTTTCTAAAAAAAGAAAAGAAATCTAAGTTATACTGGGTACTGTTATGTTGTTCATCAAGGCTTCTGTGACTGTCAAAAAACAGCGCTGACAGCCCTCGAGGACGTATAATAATGTCCTGAATTGGTAAAACTCATGATTTTTTACTGTTTTGTAAAGAGAACTTTTTTCTACTGCGCCTAACAAGACTCGAGGCTGGCGCTTCGCTGCGGAGATGTACTGTATCGACTCGTACACCTTTTGCTGTAGCTCAGTACAAGTCACAAGGGGACGTTCGATTTGAGACGATTTGATTGGCCTTCCTATGAGTTAGCTGTACGGTAGTTAACGAGCAGAAAAACCGTTCGCAGCTAGAAGTTCTTTTACAAATAGAGTAAAATATAACTTCGAAGTTGTATAACGTTTATTATAATTTTCCTATGGCTCTTTTACAAAATTGTTTTTGTTTGTTAAATGATCCAAAAATTAAAAATGGTCTCAAACTTGAGCCGATATACTTTTTCGTTGAACGCGATGCATATCCATTGCCATTTAGATCTTCCATTTTTGGTAAGTTAGACTCGGCCAAGTATTAAAAGTAAAAGAGTACCTACTCGCTACTTACAGTGAATGACGAGAGCAAGTAGTACATGACATTTATTGCCATGGAGAATGGAGCCGACACATTTGCCGAGCGATGGACCAGGCAAACACCAATACAGAGACATGAAATACAATAAAACTAGAGAGCCAGGACGCGTACATAATTATCTCTTTGTAATCGACAATAAAAGTAACAATTTTTCAATGGTTTAAATAGATGAAATTATTAAATTCAGGTAATGATGATAGTCGACTTTGCTTTTCTGTGCGGAGGGGTAATGGTACAAATTGGGAAAATAGGTAACACGTTTTTAATTTTCTATTTTATGAAGGAGATGATTTAAACATTAGGTACACAAATAGAGTGGCATATGAAAATTTAAAAATAAAATCGTTACTTTCTCATCCGTAATACATACTAAAATTCCCCAAAACGCGTGTGTCAAAACTCTGCTTGTGATAAAAATTGATTAAGCAATGCGCACACATAGGAAAGGTTTTATAGGTAAATAAAATAAAATAAAATTATTGTAAATAATTAACAGTAGGCCTACCAAATACAATAATATGTACCACATCCTAATTTTTACACTGGCAAACAAATGATAGTAAAGGGTTTTTATCCTTTGAGATGCCTTCTTAACATTTTTCCAGATGCAGTTCTTGGTATCCCGTCTGTTATTGCAATTCCACCCACTAAATGTTTATGCCGTACAACCTTCCTAGCGACAAAGTCCGCGATACTCTTTAAATTTATACGATTTGGATACTGAGCGACAATGAACACTTTTGGAACTTGTCCAAAATGATCGTGTGGTACCCCAACAACCGCGGCGTCCTTAACGTCAGGATGACTTCGCAAGATATCTTCCAGCTCGGCAGGCGCCACTTGGAAGCCTTTCACCTGAAATATGTACACTCAAAGCCTCGCACTGACTCGCTGAATCACTCACCTTAATCATTTCTTTCGAACGATCAGTTATGAATAAATGGCCATCTTCGTCATAATACCCTACGTCTCCAGTGTCCAACCATCCTTCCGAATCCAAAACCGTTTCTGTAGCATTAGAGTTGTCGAGATAACCTTTAAAGACCTGCGGGCCGCGTATTGAAATCAAGCCACTTCGATTACTTCCGAGTAATTCACCAGATTCGCTTTTAATTTTCAACTCCATAGTCGGGTGGATCATACCGCAACCTCCGATTTTCACGCCACCTGAAATATATGGCGTTTGCCAACATATTCCACCGGCCGCTTCTGTTAACCCGTATCCCTGAAGGATGTTAGCGTTCCCCTTAGTTTTCTCGTGCAACCTCTGAACGTCGTTGACACCTAGCGGTGCCGCACCTACTGCGATGGTCCTCATTCGTGTCAAGCACTCGGGTTTTATACGTGGTTCGTTTACTAGTAGTTGCACTGAAAGCCAAATATTAGTTGGGGTGGGATAACGATGGCGATACCTAAAGGGGGCACCAAGTAGCAGTGTGTCAGTTTTTCATTTTCTAATACATCTATGAAAGTTTCTTTGTTGAACTTTGGAATTGTGATCGCCTTGCATCCCAACGTTAGGTTTTCAAGAACGGTGTGCATTCCAAAAATGTGGTGCATTGGAAGTATAGCAGGAAACACGTCCTGATTATTCCCTGTAAAACAACCTTCTGTGACAAATACGTGCATACACAACATATACCATCCGTAAGGGTTTGTATCCTGAATTCGGGAACACTAATATGGTGTATGGTTGAAACCAAATTTCCATTAGTTAATTCGATACACTTAAATAGTCCCGTTGTGCCGCTAGAGTATGGCAGATAAATTACATCATTCCAATCAGATATTCGATTTTTGAAGGGGCAAGTGTTGTCGAAAACTTCGCTCAGTTTAACAGCACCGGCAGGTATATCCATTACTTCCTAAGCAAAGTCTGTTAAGACATTTTTTCATCTTTCCTCTCACCTTTCTGTGATTCATAAGGACAATGGGCACATTTTGGACAACATTGTAGATATTTGGCCACAAATCCGTTAAGGTGAAAATTAATTTTGGTTTTGAGAGCTTGAGGCAGTGAGTTATTTCCTCTACAAACCAATGAAAAATGAACCGATTTGGTGGACGTTGACTTACCTCTTGTGTAGTCGGGATTTAGGGGTGTTATTTTCAACCCTGCTTGTATTGCGCCCAATACAATCATGGCATATTCGGGCACATTAGGTAGAATCGTCGCTACTACATCACCTTTTCTGAGATCCTTGGAATTTGTTAAAAAATTTGCTATTTTGTTTGATTTTTTGTAAACGTCCAAGTAAGAATAACTGCGTTTAGTTTCGACACACACCTAAAAACAATTATTTACGCTATAATAAGATTGTATTTTTTACGGGGTTTGAAATTGACGAACGAATATTTTTGAAACCGCGACATTTTGTTACAGACTTCGCGGAAGTTAAACCAAGTTACCAAAGGTGACTAAAGTCGCCATTTTGTTTATAATAGAAGACTATGTGACTCAGTCGTAGAGCAAAAACAAAAAAATTGCCGTGGCTAGCACAGATAGCACCTGCGCATGCGCGATTCGGCCCTTTTTATGTGTAAGAATATGTGTACCAAATTTGATTCCAATCGGTTCAACCGTTTAGCCGGCAATGATAGTACAGACGGACCGCCAGACCGACATCGGTTTCTGGTGGTTCTAAACGTGTATTTCCGTCAAAAAAAGTGGTGGATCATTTTGTACTCCAATGATCGCAAAAATTCGATATGTCAATCATGGTATTCAAGTCTGCCAATTCGATTTCAAAAATTCCGTGGCAGCGGGTGGTGGGAAAATGCTTTTTAAGTATTTTTTTGTTATTGCCACAAAGGGCGAGCCTTGTTTATATCGCATTGGATCAGGACCTGCATCGACCTTAATTGCTATTTACTTGGCTATGAATGTCCATTATCTTATTATTGCATCTAGAAATCAACGAATTTCCAATGATCTGATATGATTAGTTAAAGATTTGAGATGAAAGATCTGGGAGATGAAATTTTTATGAGAAATTGAAGAAAGGGACAATCCTCCTGATACAAATATTCTCTATCGACAATATTGGCGTTGTTCGCTTGCGAGGGGAAGTGTTGGCGTATGTTGTCAAACAACACATACAACAACTGTTCCGCGTCTCTACATTTCTTACTTTATGTGTTCTTAATAAGTATCACCAAAGAGTAACCATGTATCACAGCGTTAACTTCCTAATTTTCCTTAGTAGGTCATTGTGCCGCATCAATTTTGTAGGTATGTACTCGTATATGATGATTTGTCTAATATTTTTAAAGTCTGTTAATTTCCATAATTTTTTATTCATTAAAATAATCTTATCTCGTACATATTTCCTCACATTTCTTTCGTTATATTTACTAAAAGTAATGTTAAAAATGTATGTTTTGTTCCAAATTCATAACCGAACTGAAATATCTACACTGAGCTACAGGATTGTGGTGATTTCCTACACATACAATTGTCTCTGCATTTAATGCACTCTTCCACGCTTTTGAGTTTCCATTGCACAAGAAATCGACCTTTCTCCTACATACAGCAATTTGACTTACCAATGCAGTTTTGTCACTCCACTTATCCAAATTCTTCCAAACGTAATCACTCAACGATTGTTTTGAAACGGTATTATCTTTGATGATAGAACGTACTATTTTGTCACTTAAATATCTCAATGCTATTTTAGATATCCCTAACCTCGGTAATTTTTTAGCTGTCGCCATATCGATTCACTATAAAATTTATTTAATTATATTAGAATGTTCTGCTAAAGCAACCTTACGCATTCACTGCCCCCTCCTAATGCGATATAAGGCAAGGCCGCATTTAACCTAAAAACGACCGGTGGGAGTCATCCGCGTACTTTCGATTGCCATAAAATCAAACAAATCTTCTCGCCGGAATGTAATTTACAATTCGACAGTTCCTCTTTTTCCGGGCGAATTGTTTCTTCTTATTTCTATAGTGTATTGTATTATATTGTATTATATTATATTATATTATATTATATTATATTATATTATATTATATTATATTATATTATATTATATTATATTATATTATATTATATTATATTATAAGCCTATTGAAAGTGGGTCATATCCAATGACCCCTTGGAGTCAGCCCTCTCTGTCTTGAACCTATTCGGTTCAAACTTTTCACAGTTAACATATATACCACATGTAACAAGCCAATTGTAAATGGGTCAAATCCAATGTCTCCGTGGAGTCACACCAAGGTGCTCTGCCGCTTTTTTAAACGCTCTTTATGGGTTTATTATACATCGCGATAGTTTTTTTTAACTGAACGCATCACTTTTATGGAATGGATGATCTACCATGGCAAATATTCTTTATCTATATCTCACTGCGTAATGGATTACAGGTAAATGCGCTATTCTGCCTCTTGTGACGTAATTTCTTGGCTACTTTTGTCGCACCAAGGTAGGACCTGTTGTCACTTGAACAAACGTTGCATCAAACAAATGTATCACTCAAACTCAAAAAAATCATGTTTATAAAGTGTCCTTATGTGTGGAATGTATGGAAGATGACGCATCCAAAGAAAACCGAGGGAAATTTCTACACCAAAAAGAGACAAGAATAAATTGTGCACAACTCTTGTGCAGGTAAAGCGCATTTTTTAAACCGAAATAGCTTTGGTTTTGACATCACCAATGGATGTATTCCTTGCAGACGTCTCAATCGTCCTTTGTGAGTAACCTCTTCCGACCATCCGTTCTTGAGGTATAAGGGAGACCATTCATTAGAGTACCATGAAGGATAAAACCAGTTCCACAATAGCACATTTTTTTTTAATTCTTAAAAAATGCTCTAAAAAGGAAACAAAGTCACGGTAGGATATCAGAAACTAGTCGTAAATAGAGAGAAGACGATATGGGATAAATCAACGGAAAAACAACAGATGCAGATCGACCATAAAACTGTTAGAAATGGGAACTGGTGTGATACAATATGGTACTCCCCGTGGTTTTTCTTACTCGTTGACTTATAGTTGCTCCTTAGATTATAAACTCGTTGTACTCGCTGTTTTTGCGAATATAGATGACTGGTATTAACCGTAGGCCGGATCGAACCATGTCGCGGGCCGGATTAAGCCCGCGGGCTGCTATTTCCCCATCCCTGGTCTATACAATCTGTTTCGGCACTATTGCTAACTATCTTAATTGTAGAGTTAGAAAGGCGGTTAAATTACCGAAATGTGTATTTTTGTCTACTGAATCTAAATCTGTAATTAAAAAAACAAAGCATCGCATTTTTCAGATAACAACAAAAATGTAACTTATTATATGGAACACCTTATACATTATTACATCACATGACAGCTTATTAAATGCCCTACAAAAGTTCTTAATGCGCCGTGGTCAAAATACCAAGATTTCTCAATTACTTTTATTTAGATCTAGTTATCCATAAAAATGGAATATCTGTTATTAATGTAATTAAATAATGTAGTATTGGTATATCCACAACTTAATTAGGGTAGATTTTTGACAATAAAATTTGGAAACGTTGTGTTCAGATAAATCGTCAATTTTAAATATCCCATCAAGTTTAAAATCCATACGTGACCTGAATTATATCTTTAAATTAATAAATATTGTCAAATAGAGGTAATAATACATCGTTTGCCTTTATTTATGATGCAAATATTATAGGTTACAATTTAAACAATATAAACAATTTTTTATTTATTTATTTGCCTTTATTTTGTAATGTTCAATTCAAACTATTAATAAACTGAGGCATAGTAGTTGACACACTGCTTGACTCGAAAATTAAAGTACTCGGCCCCCTTCTGTTGAAACAGCAGACTTGGTTAATATGACGTGAAACAGTAAACATTTAGGTAAACGACTCCGGGTCCGCAATTATTACGGAAAAGTAGGACGACGAAAACAGGATTATGACAACGAAGGCCTACTTCCTTTCATTATAAAATAGGGAAACTTGATGGTCTGTTAGGGCGGTTTCATGCCAATTCCGCGATGATTCACGCAGCCACATCAATTCCTTCATTTTACCAGTTCAAAAAGGCGCAACTGGTCACCACAAGCTACTAATGACATATTAGATGGTGGTTAAATTTGTCATAATGTCATAATCTACAATTGCATCCCAAATGGCATGGTTATTATAAATTCTGTAGTGTACATTGGTGGACAGATGTGTTCTTTTCTTGTGATTATTGGATAATATACCGTTGTGTAAACTGGGTGTGGTTTTTATAGGTTGAAACGATGCTGAAGACGAGAGCCAGCCACTTTGTGGTGTAAAAATATGCGTTGCTAAGGTAATTTTGGTCTCCATATTGGAAATAGCCGTCAGAGGTCTGTATGTAACATGATCAGGTGTTTTATCAGTTCTGGCGACCTAGAGGAATTTCGAGTGTCGTTGGGTTAATAAAGACGTTAGAGGAAGTGGTTTTTGCTTAAATAAGCAGAGTTAATTTTAGTACCGGTAGTCCAGCCGGGTATGCAATTTTATTTGGATGAATCACGAATCCAAACAACCTGCCCTCAATTTCGCGAAAGTTATATTCGAGACCGTGATTATGCACAGGAATAATAACCCAATGTTCCCCCGTGTCATTATTAATTTTGGTCTTGTTGCATGTAAAATGCAACGATTGATTGTCTTTAAATTCCCTGCCGTATGGTGCTTTATTTATGGCCTAGTGCGTTATCGTCAGAATCCTCAGAATTTACGAGCTTGCTTTTAACCAGCCGTCACGGTTAACGATCTGAAAAAACTTCTTTGTATATCACAATGAGTTCTAATTTCAGTTTTATTTAATCCCGTTTTTATTTGAAAAGCGTTTCTCCTACTCGAACATGTTCCTTCGCGTAAATTTTACCACTCGTAAGTAAACACCCTTGCTACTCGGGTCAACGGATAGACATGCTGATGGGGTTGTTTTTCAGCGGCGAGGTAAGTCCATCGGAGGATATTGCGGCATACATTGCACGACTACAGAAGAAATTTCAGGAGCTGAAAAGATTAATAGGAACTAAATTACCGGACCTGTTTCTGATGAGCCGTGTAATGTCAACACTGCAATTTGCGTATTTCGAGTTCAAAAGCGTCCAGGAATCAGTGTCGGTGAATGATGCCGATTACGCATGTGAAGCCAGTACGAGGGGATACGCACTCCACATTTCTGCATAGGTAAATAATCGCATTTTTCGTATAACAAATAGTTGTTTTGGCGAGCCATCCTCCGTAGCCATCCTGTCTAATTTTTCGGCTTTCTGATTAGTAACATTGAATCCTGGTTCGATCGAACGTTCTGTTTCTCGTTGAATGTGCCCATAGGAGTGCTGACTGAATGCGCCTTCAGGGTGTGAACGAGTTGCTCCCATTGGGACTGAAGAAATTTCACTTTTTGCTTTTGTCGTAGAATAACAAGGTCTTAATTTTGGGAAAGATGAAATCTCATGAAATTCCTGAGGTATCAAGTTAAAATTGCCGAAATTAGTTGTATAAACGTATTAACGTGAATTGAGTTGTTGCTAAGCTTAATCTAGGTAAGCATATTTTTTATATTTCCGCTGTTAACAATATTTTAATTATTTATAGGTTAGTTTATCACATGGTCCCGGCAAATTCTCAATTGTATTTATATGAGAACCCAGTTATATTAGGGTAAATGTGCCTTGGTTGTTAATGCCCGTTTACGCGTTGGCAATTCAACATACATTTAAGCTAACATTCTTTGTGTATCTTTAGGTCTTGGTTGTGGTCTCATGGCATGTATTTATTGTAGCGGGTTCTGCGCTTGTGGGCCTATTATCCATATTTATTACTTTTGAAAGATTTTCAATTGCATTTATCGTTATATTCCAACGCTAATTCCGTTACTGTATTGGTTCTCTTGAAACAAAGTCGAACTAAAATTGTATGGTGGTCAAGAGAACGACCTTAATGACTTCGAGGCTGGTCGATCAAGAGGAGGGGGGGGGGGGATACAGGGTTAGAATTTCAGAGACGTCTTCAGTTTAGACTTTTAGCAATTACTTTATTTTCTGGAACTACTGTGACCAGGTCTGGTCAGTTCTTCGTCATTCTGTACCTTTCCTTCGCAAAAGTTTACCAAGCGCTGTTCTAGGTATATTTTCAGTTACGACAATCCCACCTAGTAAGTGCTTATGCCTCGCAACTTTACTCGCAACGAACTCTTCTATATTCTTTAGATTGACTGAACTTGGCGACTTAGTTACAATGAAAGCTTTTGGAACCTCTCCAAAGCGTTGGTGTGGTATTCCCACCACTAATGCATCACTAACATCGGGATGACTACGCAAAATGGCCTCAATCTCGGCCGGTGCAACTTGAAAACCTTTTACCTAAGGAAAATATTAAAGTGGTGTTACTAGGTAAGTAATGGATTACCTTAATCAGTTCTTTCAATCGGCTGGTTACGAATAAATGGCCATCTTCGTCGTAGTGACCTACATCACCTGTATTTAACCAGCCCTCGGAATCCAGCGTGGATTGTGTAGCTTCCGCATCATTGAGATAACCTTTAAAGATCTGCAAACCACGCAGATAAATCGTACCACTTTCGTTACTTCCGAGCATTTCACCGTCAGCGTTCTGAATTCTAAATTCGGTATTTGGGCCGCTAAGACCACAACTTCCAATTTTCACGCCACCTGGAATATGTGGTGTCTGGAAATGTGTTCCGCCTGTTCCTTCCGATAAACCATATACCTGATATATGCACATCTTGCCGTTAAGTTTTTCGGTTAAGGTTTGCACGTGTCTAACGTCCAATGGAGCGCCACCTACTTGTATGGACCTCATTCTTGCTAAGTGTTCGGGTTTTATACATGGTTGGCTTGCCAGCATTTGTACTAAAAGAGTGGAATGATGAAGTACGAACAATGTTCGGGTATCATACTCAAAGACGGCACTAGATAGCAATGTGTAAAGCTCGTATTTTGCAGGGCTTTTAAGAATAATTGTGTTGTAACCTTTGAAAATGTAATTGCTTTGCAACCCCAGGACATATTACAAAACATTGGCAGAGTTCCAGAAATGTGAGATATTGGTAGTATAGCAGGATACATATCTTGATTCATAGCTGCAATGTCTATACTGTAAAAAACAAAACAGATAAAAAAAAGTACCATCTGTAGGTGCTGTCATCTTAAATTCTGGTACGGTATTGTGATGTACACTTGAAACAATGTTTGCATTGGTTAATTCTATGCACTTAAATAAGCCTGTAGTGCCACTTGAGTAGGGTAGATAAATTACATCATTCCAATCTCGTGTTCGGTTTTGAGAGGGGCTAGTGTTTTCAAAAACTTCGCTCAATTTAATAGCACCTGCTGGTATATCCATTACTTCCTAAACATATAGGTATTATGTACACGTATAGTTTCTTCCCACCTACCTCTGTATGATTCATAACAACAATAGGTACTTTGGACCTCTCCGTTACACGGTAAATGTGTGACCATAAATCCGTTAAAGTAAAAATTAACTTTGGTTTTGATATTCCGATGCAGTGAAGTAGTTCATCTGAAATTAGAAGAAGGTGAATGGTTTTGATCATCTATCTTTCCTAAGAAGAATCAAACATTCCATATCTATTGATAGAGTTGATCAGCTTTCATTATTACACGCCCAATTTTCTGTGCATACCTCTCGTGTATACCGGATTCAAGCTTGTTATTTTGTAACCTGCTTGTACTGCTCCAAGAAAAATGATTGCGTATTCGGGTACATTGGGAAGCATTGTTGCAATTACATCACCTTCGCTTAGCCCAGGAAAATTTGCCAAAAAGTTTGCTACCTTGTTGGATTTTTTGTAGACGTCTGCGTACGAATAACTACGCCCCGTTTCAGCGCATTCCTTAAAAAAATTGGTACATTTTTAAATATCTGCTAATTAACCGGGGTTCTTTCTTTACCATAGCAATTTTGTCACTCCACTTATCCAAGTCTTTCCAAACGTAATCGTTGATTGACAATTTTGGAACTTCCACATTGCTTACTTTGGAGTAAATTATTTTACTAGAAAAACTTCTCCACTCTTTCCCTCGCTCACGTAATGCTAACAATTTTTTTAAATGCGTTACTTTTGTTAGTGCCATGTCGAAGAACTGGTTTTACAATTGATTGCTCTCTCACAACTGCTTCAGTTTTACTCTTTACTTTCCCATAGATGTATTTTCCGTCGGCTGTAATTGTTTGTAAATTAGCAATTAATGTTGTTTGCTAAAGCGGCAACTGATTCTACAAAGGACAGTTATTTTAAAGGTTGTGATTAATATGCATTATTGCTTTGTATATGATTTTGAAGTGTGTTAGCTCGATCATCTATTATACTGTATTACAATATTTTACTAACAATTTTGAAGACTAATGTCAAGGTATTGCGGCGTATTTAAAAATAGCTAAACATCTCGCTGCCTACAATTAAGTCAAATGAAATCAAAATATGACTAACTTTTCCTTACAAATTTTTATTGTTTCTTTGTTCTGTCAACTGATTTCACCAATCATTAAACAATACCATTCGAATTTCATTTTTAACCACTCCCAGATTCTGTTATTGAGTAACAAATTTATTTGGGGTGGATACCACGACCCCAAAAATTGTTCCGATTACCGTTAGTAAAAGGTAAACAGAAATTCGATACAACACTTATCAAAAGAATGAGAAAAATAGACTCAACGATCACCTTTTCAACATCCTGTATATACAGAGTGGCCCAACGAGAAGTATTATGCAGAGGGCTTTTAGGGTACTAAATTTAGAAATTTCGAAAAATCCTCGAACACGTCAATTTTGTATTCGAGGGGGACAACTTTTGGAATACAAATCACGAACCCAAGTCTTCACCCCTCTACGTAGGGAGCTTAACCCCTAAAATTTTAAATGGAATCCTATGGCAAATGACACATTATTTGAAAGCCAATTTAATCGTGATTACTAATCTGCTTTGCTTTTTAAATTCTATTGATTCGTTTCGGAGATATTCGCATTTGAAATGGTTTTTTTCCCCTGATTTAAGTTCTTTAGATTACTTCTTGTGGGGATATTTAAAGAATAAAGTTTATGCTACTCCGCCCGGAACATTACAAGGGTTGCGAGCACGTATAACCATAGTGTAAGAATAGAATACACTATGGTATAACTCAACAATTTCGAGCGATTACCCCTGAAATCTTGCAACATGTACGGCAGCGTTTTGAAGCAAATCTTTATTATTGCATGGAAGCAGGCGGAAGGCAATTCGAGCATTTATTGAAATAATGTTGTGTTATTTGTTATTTTTTGAACAATTTAAACCAATTTATAAATTTTAATACAAGGTGACTTGATCGCATTTGTTTTGGTTTTTTTAGAAAAAAACATTTCAAATGCGAATATCTCCGAAACGAATCAATAGAACTTAAAAAGCAAAGCAGATTAGTAATCACGATTAAATTGGCTTTCAAATAATGTGCCACTTGCCATAGGATTCCATTTAAAATTTTAGGGGTGAAGCTCCCTACGTAGAGGGGGTGAAGACTTGGGTTCGTGATTTGTATTCCAAAAGTTGTCCCCCTCGAATACAAAATTGACGTGTTCGAGGATTTTTCGAAATTTCTAAATTTAATACCCTAAAAGCCCTCTGTATACTTCTCGTTGGGCCACTCTGTATAGTAATTTATTAAATTACACCTTCCCAACATTCTGGGTTGCTGTGAAACAAAGGATACAATACAAATTTGAACATGAAAAAAAAACAAATTAATTATAAATGATTTCTTAAAATGTAAATGGAATTTTTTTATAGTAGTTATTGCTATTAATTCTAACAATTTTGATGGTAATCCAAAAGTGTGGGAAAATTTTTTGAAAAAAGTGGTCATTGTTCCGCGGGCACCAACAAGTAGTCCTATGATATCAACTTTTTTTAATCCATAAGTTTCTTTGAAGAAGGTCGTTGTTGAACCATAAATCTTTTGTTTTTCTAAATTTACGTTAACTGCTTGGTGTTCGTCATCTTCGAATCTAACAGTGGGATCGATAATCCAACCGACATTCTTCTTTTTCTCAATAGCCAATATGTCAACCCTTCTGGTACTGCCCGAATTCGCGGTACAAACCACCTCCTCGTAGGCGGTTAAATATTTAGACCGTAAAGCGTGACCTATCATAGTACGCACAGTATGATGGCGATGATTCCGTAAACGTTCACCGAATGGGCAGGACCCAAGGACATGAGGCAAAGTTTCAGATATGAATGTCTCAGTGTCGTAACAGTGCCGACACCGGGTCCGTCCTTTGATTTGCCTGGAAGCGCTCTTACTGGAGCGACATCACCAATCATTTTTATTGCGTCTTTTAATTCTGAAGAAGAAAGTCCAGAGCGATCTAGAATATTATTCGCTGGGGGATAGTCCTTAAAAAGGATTACACCTCTACCCTTATGTGTCAATTTAGTCCAATTAATGTATTCTCGATCTTGTAAAAAGGATCTTATGTATTTTACGGGCTTGTTCAGGAAGACTTCATCCATTAAATTAAGCTTTTTCAAACATAATTTCTTTTCATCTTCCAAATTTCTTGTTTTTATAATGATTTCTTCATTAGAAAGTTGCAGACGATTACGTAATATTAATAAGCCTCTCAACCAGCGCAAAATAATTGGAGACCTTTTTAGCGCATTTCCACAAAAATTAAAAAAAATGCGCTATTGTGGCCACTTTGTCCGTCCGTCCGTCCGTCCGTCCGTCCGCTCGTTTTGCGACGCTACTAGTTCTTTATCTTAAGAGCTATTGTTCTACTTTTTTCGCTATTTGGTTCGTTATGGTGTCGAGTCTTGTACCAAGGAAGGAATTTTTTCTGTACCGCTTACAAAAAAAGTTATTGTAAAAAAAACAAAAAACCGTTTTTTACATGTTCCATAATTTTACACTTTTGCCGTTTATTAACGATCCTAGAGATCGTTTATAATTTTGCATTGCTATCTGTCGTCTGCCTGTTGGTCTGTCCGTCTGTTCCTTTGTCTGTCTGTCCGTGTGAACGATAACATTGTTTAGAAATGTTCGATCGCTTTTACATCTCCGTTAGTTATGAACTGAATTGCATGAAATTCAATATGGGCATAGATTTAGCCATATAATACGCAACGCCAAAAGTTGAATCGAATCGATTCAAAATTCACAGTGCCCTTTTCGCATCTCGACCATTTATAAACCGAATTGCAAATTTTTTACTTATAAAAGTATTTGAATGAAATTTGATACATAGGCACTTGGAATAAAGGAAAATCAAACGCCAATTTCAAAATTTGGTTTTGCGCATGCGCAGTGCAAACTTTTTTATTTATGGAAGAATTTAAACGAAATTTGATACATAGGCACTTGGGATAAAGGAAAATCAAACGCCAATTTCAAAATTTGGTTTTGCGGATGCGCAGTGCCAATTGTTTTATTTATGGAAGAATTTAAATGAAATTTGATACATAGGCACTTGGAATAAAGGAAAATCTAGCGCACTTTCAAAATTTTATTTTGCGCATGCGCAGTGCTAACTTTTTTATCTATGGAAGCATTTAAGTGAAATTTGATATTTAGGCGCTTGGAACAAAGGAAAATCTAACATTAGTTTCAAAATTTAGGTTTGCACATGCGCAGTTCCAACTTTCTTATTTAGAAAAGCATTGAAATGAAATTCTTCTCATAAACTGACATTGAAGTAGCACGACAAAAATGGATTGCCCATGTGCAACGCTATCTTTCATATTTGTGGCCGGATTTTTACGAGTTTATAGAAGTTGCATCTTACAAATGGGATGTGAATGCAAGTGGAAATGCGCTTTATGTAAATCGTTTACGATTACTTTTTAACTTGTTTATTTTTTATGCATATATCATTGCGAAGGTATATTGTATTATATTTATCGCACAAGGCGCTGTCCAAAGACGTCAACTTTATGAAACTTGCTTTTATTTTACCAGCCCTTATACTCTTAGCGATTCGAAAGAGAACATCTTTGTTTATCGCAATGAGTTTAATATCAGTTTATTTAATTCCGATGTTTTCTTGAAAAGCGGTTCTCCGATTTGAAAATGTTCCTTCGGGTATATTTTACCGTCTTGCTACGAATCAGGCTGCTAAAAAGATTTTTCTTGTTCTGTAATTTACTGTAATTCGTCTATTCGCACACATATGGAAATTATAAGTAACCTGCAATTTGTCACAAATCCGAATTTGTTTAAATATTCTCCACGACGTACTCAAAATTTGGGAGTTCTCACCACTTAATATGATTTTACCCGAAGTCAAAACGAATTTTTACACGTACGCGAGGATGTTTCTCACAACGCGGCAAAAAATATCGATCGGGCACACCAACATTAGTACGTGATCGCTCTTTGAAGTTAAACGAAAGTCTTTTGTATTTACGCGAAATAATCAACAAATGATTTAATTCAATTCATTCGTATAGCGATTCAGCGAGGAAACGCGGCATCCGTTTTAGACACTACCAAATTCTACAGAATGTTTAAATGAAATTTAATTTTATGTTTAAATTTATATTCGAAGACATGTATCTAAATATTAAATTGGTTTATCAATAGCAAAATGAAAACAAAACAAAAATATCAGTGTATCCTAATTTGGTACGGTCTCACGCTCGTAACTTCACTTGGAATTCAATTTCAGCGTACCTCACCTAGTACGCTTAGAATTCCCGTTCTCCCACATCTCTCGCCCGTTAGAAGTTCTGAAACGGAACCAATTTTTTTAGCGGAATGACCTCGACTAGAATACCTTTTTTAAACGAGGAAACCTGCATTTTTGTCACGTGCTTCCCTTTAAACAGAACGGAGTGGAACTCTTAGGTTTGGAGAGATTGTGGCAACCGCCCTCGCTTTCCACAAATAAGTTTCCGGTTATCGCCAGACATACTATTGTTCATGTTCTCTACGAAGCGGTATATGTGTACATTTTGTCTGTGTTGAAAAGAATTTCTTAAAATGTTGATAGGTGATAGGAAACTGAATGTTGAACGTCACGAGCGACAGATTGTCAATCGTGTGTATTTCATCATACACCGCATTATATGCATATTCAAGAGGTTATGGGCCCAGAAACATTGTGGAAGTAGTGACATTAAACTACGTGCCACTAGACGAACGTGCGTGAGAAAATTTTTCAAATTAAAGTAAGATCACTTCGTATGGATCAGCGAAGATTGAATCACTGACACGCGAAAACTATCGTTCGTGGTGTCGTCAAATGAAGGCGATCATAAACAAGAATAACCTATTAGCCTCTTATGTGATAAAATTAAACTCGAAAACATTTACAAGTTGTGAAACGTATTTCAAGTAGGTCAAGCGCGTAACCACAGAACCACTCCATGCTAGGACAAGAACCTATTTTACTTTAGCCTAGACAAGAACCGCCCAATTGCAAACGAAGGTCGGACAACCCATTTAATCGTAACCGAGAACCCCCGTCACCAAGGCCACATCCAAAATTGGGAAAACCACTCTTCAGTTACACGTAACCGAGAAACCCCAGACGCAAAAGAAGTTAAGTAACCGAGGAATCCATTCCGACTTTGGTGGTGGCGATTCTTAGGTAAAACAAAAAACGTTTTAAGATGAACCTACTGTTGAGGATCATGTAATTACATTTACAGTGACTGTATATGCTCCATATTTCGTTCCATCACGTTTCTTCAGCAATGCCGGTGACGCTACTGTTTCCGACGCATTCAGTTGTCACTAAAAGAATGAGAAACGTAGCTATAGATTATGTTTCTATTGATTCGATTTAATTAAATTAAACGCCTCCCACCGCCACCTTCAAGTATACATTTAATTGTTACATTACGTAGTTGAATGTTCCGTTATTCCCTCAGATTTCTTCGCAAAATTTTACCAGAAGGAGTTTTTGGTATATGATCAATTACAACAATGCCACCTAGTAAGTGTTTGTGCTTTGAAACTTTACTCGCAACGAACTCTTCTATTCTCTTCAGATTAATGTGAGCTATCGATCTAGTAACAATGAACGCTTTTGGAACCTCCCCAAATCGATCGTGCGGTATTCCTACAACTGCAGCATCATCAACGTCAGGATGACTACGCAAAATGTTCTCAAGCTCCGCAGGTGCGACTTGGAACCCTTTTACCTACAAGCCGTTAAATTGAAGTACCATTATGAGTTTATCGTGACTGACCTTTATCATTTCTTTCAATCGGTCAGTTATGAATATATGGTCATCTTCATCGAAGTGTCCTAAATCACCCGTATTTAACCATCCTTCCGAATCCAACGCCAACCGTGTAGCCTCTGGATTGTCGAGGTAGCCTTTAAAAACTTGCGGGCCACGGATATAAATCGTACCACTTTCATTTCTACCGAGCATTTCTCCTTCCCCGTTTACAATTTTGCATTCTATTCCAGGGAGGTTTATACCACAGCTGCCAGCTTTCATACCGCTTGGGACGTGCGGTGTTTGCAAATGTGACGGTCCCGCTGTTTCGGTCATACCATACGCTTGCAGGACGTGAATCTTTCCATTAGCTTTCTCGATTAAACACTGCAAGTCGTGAGTTCCCAATGGTGCACCTCCTATTAGAATGGCGTTAAAGCTCCCTAAGTGTTCAGATGTTATACAGGGATCGTTAATTAATAGTTGTGCTAAAAGTGTAAGATTGTGTAATGGAAATAGTAGTATACGCACATCGAACCTAAAGGAGGTACCATGTGGCAGATCGTAGGCCTCATATTTCGTAAAATATTTGTAAATGATTTCCTGGTAAACTTTGGGACTGTAATTATTTTGCACCCCAGTGCTAAATATACAAAAACAGCGTAAACAGACATGTGGGACATCGGTAGTATCGCAAAGAACACGTCCTGATTCTCGTCTGCAGTAGGCACACTTGGAAAAGCTAAACATATTTTGGAAACGTACCATCAGTGGGTGCTGACATATTGAATTCTGGCACAGTGTAATTATGTACACTATGCATAATGTTTGCGTTTGTCAATTCTATGCACTTCATTAATCCCGTGGTTCCGCTAGAATAGGGAAGATAGATTACATCATTCCAGTAATGTACTCGTTTTTGTGATGGATAGGTGTTCCCAAAAACTTCACTCAATTTTATAGCACCTGTAGGGGCATCCATTACTTCCTAAAAAAGTATCTTACTTCTGGACTCAATTTCTCTATCTTACGTACCTCTCTGTGGTTCATAACAACAATTGGTGCGTTTGTTCCTTTTATACCATGGTAAATCTTCGCCCATAAATCGGTTAAAGTAAAAATGATGCTTGGCTTCGAGATTCCAAAACAGTAAATTAATTCATCTGAATGCGAATATGTGAAATACTTTGGTTTTATTAATATCATTACCTTTTGTTAAGTCAGGACTCAAGGGTGATACTTTCAAACCTGCTTGTAGTGCTCCAAGTACGATCATCGGGTATTCGGGAACGTTAGGGAGGATTGTTGCAACTACATCACCTTTGCTTAGTCCCTTACAATTTGTCAAAAAGTTTGCTACCCTTTTGGATTTTTTGTGGACCTCTGCGTAGGAATAGCTCCGCCCTGTTTCGGCGCATTCCTTAACAAAATTGATACATTTAGAAATATTTGTTTATTGACCGCTTTACCATAGCAATTTTGTCACTCCACTTATCCAAGTCTTTCCAAACGTAGTCGTCGATTGACAATTTTGGAACTTCCACATTGCTCACTTTGGAGTAAATTATTTTATCAGAAAAACTTCTCCACCCTTTCCCTCGCGCGCGTAATGGTAACAATTTTTGTAAATGCGTCACTTTTGTTAGTGCCATCGAACTGGTTTTACAAATTGCTCTCTCACAACTGCTTCATTTTGTATGTCTGCTTTCTCATAAATGGTGTAATTTCAGTGGGCTCAATATTGTTAAGAAATTAGCAATTAATGTTGTTTGCTGTTGTGCGTTGTCGTACATCAAGGGGGGCATCTGAATTTTGTAATGGACAATGATTTCAAAGGTTAATTAGTTCACATAAGGACGCACATTCTCAACCTTGTCAGATAATTGATTTAAATATGATATTGAAGTGTTTTAACTCAAGCCGGCTCGTGTGGCGCAGTTCAGTTAAAGCTGAACTGTGTAACCGGCTGGTTACGTTTCAACTCTTGCTACCGTTTCTTCTTCAAGCTACTTTATTTTGGGGTGGTTCTTCTTACATAAAACAATTGTTGTTGGACTCCGACTAGCATTCAGTCGATGGTCCTTTTCTGGCCTCGAGGAAATGGGAAAGGATAAATGAATAAAAATCAATAATCTTTATTAAAACCTATTACGTTCTTATTTTCTTAGAAATTCGCCTTTAATCTGTAGATAACACATGTTAAAAGAAATGGGGGTTGAGGCGGCACATTCCTGTAAGAGTAGGGTTAACTCATTCATTCACAAAACTCACTGCATAAAAAGGAAAATCTATCTTTATTATGTTAACTGCAATCAAAATATTTAACGCTAGGACCGCCGAGTACAGAAAGAAACTTAATTTTTGTTTCAGAAATTAATATATAACTAAATCGAAAATCAAAACAAACTGCTGTAAGTGCGTGGCGTAACGCTTCCAGGTTCGAGTCGTTAACATTAAAGTAAACAGTGCTCACAAGCACTTATTTGAAAGCAAAACACCAGTAGGGAATTAAATCGCCTTTACAATAATACCGATTTATACTACTGTTCTATGACAAACCACAACACAGTAATCTACAACGGGGTGAACTACAAATAACGGTAAACTACGACGCGATAAAGTTTTATAATTGTTTATACATACCTTTAAGGTCAATTGTGTATGTGCACCAGGAGCCGGAACGCAATCTTGGTCTCTCTCCGATTGATGTTGAAGTCGAATGAATTTAGGACCGCCCACTGCAGACTGCTATTCGAGTTTGGTTCGGCCAATCATCACAGGTAGGCTTCAGTGCGGCTCCTCTGGGTACCCTCAACGCACACGGACCGCGCGTAGAATAGAAAGTGAGAACCTCTTTCGGTTATTTCGCAGTTTTTTTAATTTTCTTCGGAGTGCCGTGAAGATCGTCTTCGGCTTAGATACGGTGGCTCGATGGGGATGGTTTCGTTCGGTTCTTTATTTTTATTTTTCTTCAAATTTCGCCTCGATTCGCTTATTACAACAATACGCGCTTATGGTTTACGGGCGCGACCGGCACAGAGGTTGCTCCGTGAAAAGACGGCGGGCAACTGCTGCTTTGGTGCTGGAAACATGCTACGGTAGGGTCTTGTGATTTCTTTATCTGGTTCGGAAGAGAGTGGGAATAGTTTTAGATAGCACAGTATAAGTATTATATGTTATAAATAATATAATAATATGATATACCATTTTTCGTTAGAAATTAACTTTTCATACAATTCTGGACTACAATAAAAACACCTTGAACGTTATATAATTTGTGAAAAAATCACCCTTACATATAAAATAGTAGGTAAATGCAGATAATTCACTAATTGATAACCCTTAATATTAATCTAGGGTTTTAGTGCGGAAATTTTGTTAGCAAACCTCAGATTCGGATTCAGCACCCCAAAAAACGTATGGGTGAAAGAAATCAAAACTACCCCACAACTTTCCTGGTAGAAATACAATTTAACTGGATTAACTTGGAATGGAAAGCAATAATTTAAATGGCTTTAAACTAGTAAAAGTAAAATTTTCATGGACCAAGAATTATCCGTACAAATCGGCGATAAACGTAACGTTAGCTCATAAAACACACATTTTTAATTACCAGCGACGAATGCGATGCTAGAGTAATGATTAGGTACATTTTTCCCATGTAATTGTTTTGGGTTCGTTTCCGTCTTAGTCTGATATTATCTTCTGTTTAAAAGAATTTTTGTATGTTTTGTTATTAAACGTTAATAAATGTTTATTTTCATCCGTTATCCCTACTTCCTTTGACTTTTATTTATCAATTGTTTAAGTTAATAACGGGATATGGTTCCATTCTTCTTTTTTCAATTCACTTTACTTTGTACAAGTGATTCACTTTACCCCAATAACCTAGGGGGGAAAGGAGATCACACTTTGATAAAAGATAAAAGGTTAATTATTGATTTAATAACAATCATAGGTAACGAATATGGTAACCGTTACAAATCAGGAACCGTAACTCAAGTCTTCAATGAATAATTTCGAAGTAGGTCATTGTAATATCATATCACGTGATGTCTCAAGCCTTTAAATGGCGGGTCCATGTATCATCCAGGTTCTACACAGGTAGGACACGAAGTAAAATCAGGGAACAAAAGTAAACATCACGAAGATAAGACAAATGTGTAATTATAAGCACACACCGTAAACGACCTTAGAGCTTTTGAATATATCCGCAAAAGCGTCAGTGAAGCGTAGAAAGCAAGTCACAAGAGAAAAACTTCGGCCATTAAAACCCTTATGCCCGTACTAATAATCGTGCGCAGACACTGAATCCTAATTTATTGTTTTGTAACATTGAGTTGATTTTTCCTGTTAAATTACAAATGCAACCTTCTGAAAATTTTAAATCAATTTCATTAAAACACGGATGAGAATCGTGCTTTTCAATGCCTAGATAGAGAAATGTTGTTTTAACTACTTAGGCTGTTTACTGCATTTTTTAATGATGTTTTGTTTCAATGTGAATGAATATAAATACATAATATCTTATTCAGTTATGTAAACTTTCAAATATTTCCTTAGGCAGATGAGTCATTAATCTCGCATGTAATTAACCGCTCTACCGTGAAATTTAAATTAATCATCAGTATTCTTAATTTTAATTAAATTTGAACTTTTTTGATTAATCACGCCGTAATTAAGAAAAGTTTGCCCGTCTAAATGGAAACTTATCAAGATTTTATCAGCGTAAATAGCGCGAATGCAAACGTCAGTTTGATGTTACCATAATATCTTTGTTCTCAACTCCAATATTTTCAGCACGAAATTCGCAATTTAGTTTGATATGTGGAAACTGGAAAGTTCACGTCAAAATGATTCCATCGCACGTATTGATTTGCCTCCATATTTTGCGCTTGACGTGCCTTTCTATAACTTATTGTGAATTTTAATTAAGTTGGCTAGAGCATAATGAAAATCATTTCAACGTTTCGATTTGGTATGGAATTGAAGTTCTATTTTACCTTGTAACTTATTACAATTGCTTGTGTTTCCTGTCATATGTATATAAAATTAACAGATACTTGGATCCGACTTGATATCTGGAGGGGCGAGGGTGGAGGTGAGAGCTTCAACTTTATGTTATTTTCGATTAATTTTCTTCTTTATCTCTCTCTTAGGGTTCTCGTTTTTGGAATAGGCATTGATTCCTTTTTTTTGCATCCTCTTTTGAATTATCAAGTACAAGTTGTGTATGTAATATATCGAAAACCAGACCGAAACTTGTATTTTTTTCAGGACCGAATACCGAACCGAAACCATTATTCCTTCAGAAATGGACCTTCAGAAATGGAAACTTATTGAGAACCGGAACCCTTTATTATTTTTTATACGGTTTTTAACAAGGTATTGGAGGTTGAAGGACGTGCCGGCAAACACGTCCTGAAATATCGAATGCGTACGCGCTTTGTAGCTTGCGCAAACCAAAATTATTTTAGACGCCCATTTATGTTAGATTCTCGTAATAACTTATATGCGTAACATACCTTTTTCCGTATAAACCAGTTTTTTTTAACAAAACAAGCGATAACGCTTACGGTTTTAAACCCAAACTATAATAATTTATGACCTAGAGCATAAACAGAATTAATAAATGCGAAAAATTTACGTTTCTAGCATGCCTAAATTGTTTTATGTTGTTCTTAAGGAACGGATATTTAACTTGCAAAGCAAGCGTTCGGGTGGTCGGTTAAAAATCTAGACGTTATCGCAATGTTACGTTGCACTTTATTTGTATTAATTGAAATTAAGCTCTCCGAATGTCTAATATTTGTCATTGAATTTAAGTTGCCAAAAGATGCGAACTGCTAACGTAATTTATGTTAAATTTAGCTGGAGGGATTAAATATCGCCTTTTGCTTGCTTCTTTTGTAATTAACTTTATTTTAACTTTACTATTTCATAGACTTCTTTTAAATAATTTTGAGCTTCTTTAGGGTTAGGTAAAGATTCACTACAGTTGACAGTAAGGTCAGGAAAGAGCCCCGACTTTGGTTCTGTGAACCACAGATCATTTTACTGCACTACACGTTAGTGTGGCCAAAAGTGAATCTTCAAACTTTGGTTCTGTAAAATGCAGTAATACCAATAATAATAATAATAGTAATACCAGTTCCCCATTTCCCATTTCGGTCTCGAGTACCGTCATTTATCGCTCATTCGGAGGTAGACCGTAAATTAACGGCTCAAACAACGAAAAGAAGAGATCGAACCCTCACTCCCAACTTTACACCGCCCAAGAACCATAAAATGGCATACAAATCCAATGAAATCTGACCCATAATATGAAGAGTTGGATGTCGTTGCGGCCGTCGGGTTTATCGAGTCTGTCCTTCGTTGCAGCCCTTATCGAGCCCTTAGTAGCAATTTAAGCACAATTTGTTCAGATGATGAGAAATTGGTTCTTACTTATGCGTTTCCTTGTGTAATATCTCGCATAAAGTTTTCGAAATGAAAAAAGGTTGAAACTCTCCAATTTATTATGTTGGTAAAAAATTGCCATTTGACTATTCTCTCCCATGGCGCATTTATTGTAATGTTTGTGTGGATTGTAAATGACAAACAGTTTATCTAGGAGGTATGAGTCTATAGGTGAAGGTGAGTGGTATAATAATGAACGTAATTATCCCTGTTCCATTACAGTATTAATGGTCCAAT